ATTTTACAGGTGCAGTAATGAAAGCTTATTTACAAGACTAACACAAATCCAACTTTTCCAAATCATTGCCATAATAATTCAAGTAGTCACTATAAACATTCCTGCAACTCAGTGATTCTTTTCCAATTTGAGTAATCACTAGAGATTTTATGAACTGAATTCAATGAAGTAACAGCTATAATTGTTTTGAACTTGAACTAAGCAACAAATTAAAAGATTTGGAGAAATTTTTTTTTCTTGTCTTGATTTTAAAAAAAAATATTTTTTAATTTCAAAATTTTGAGTCTCCTTTAGTTCCAGAATATATTTTAATCCTTATTTCCCAAACATGATTTTAAGATTATATGATATATTCAGTAGAGCTTTAATTCCTCCTCTGACCTGCCTAATTTTTGTTATAGTGCATTAGTACTATATTTGGTCTTGTGCAACAGTTTTTATGCTCATCTTTTCATTTCTACTAAAGTTACCTAAGAGTAGGAATCATGTTTCTCTTACAGCACCTTGGATTATAAAATATTTGCCTATAGTCATTGCTCAGTGGAAATTTGTAAGTTTTGTTTGTTGACCATATCAACTTACATTAAAAAATGAATCACTCTGCCCTTGAAATTCTTACCTCAGTCTGTGTAAAATTCTTGTGAGTTGCTCTTTTACCAGACTCTGGAAGCTGTCAGTATTAAGTTGTTGCCACTTTTTTTAGTCCACTAACCCATGCTAGAGGTTACATATTTTAGTTTTTAAATGTTCATTTATTTATATTAGTAACTTAAATTCCTTAATATTTCTTTAAGTCAGCTTCCTAGTTCTAGTAACAGTGATAGTTTGTATCCATATAAATTATGGAATTTTTTACTTCATGATGTTTTTATTTTAATCAGTTGTTTCACTGTTGAGATCTTAATTTTTCCTGCCTAGAAAAGATAAGCTACAATTTTTCTAAAAGCCAGAATAGATTTCAAAATATAAATAACATTGTAAAGAATTAATTGCTGAGTAAAAATAATTTGGGGACTGCTCAATGAAAATTAGATAGAATTTTCCAGCCATAGATATGGCCCTGTCATTTTCCACTTATCCGTCTCCACCCTGACAACTTTATATTCTTACAAATTTGTCTGTATAAAAAAATAGTCTTGAGTGGACAGCTTTGCAACCAGAACACAATGGTTTTCTAATTACTGTCAACCTCTTATTTCCTTAGATTTATGCCATGCACTTAATTGAGGAAGAGAGATTCATGTTATTTACCTGAATAATTTTGAAAACATAATTCTAATTGTACCTTATCAAGAAATTCTTATTTTCATTTCAGATATTTTAGCCATAATACAAAGAAATATTTTTTGTGTGTGTCAATTATCAAGTTTCTGTTAGCAAAAGAAAATGGTAACCTTATAGAAAATTATAAAATATCTAAAAGGACAAAGAATAAAATAAAAACCAATAGCTTTAGATAGATTACTTGTTTCCCTTCCTATAAATTTTTTTTTCTTGTCTTGATTTTTTAAAAATTATTTTTTAATTTCAAAATTTTGAGTCTCCTTTAGTTCCAGAATATATTTTAATCCTTATTTCCCAAACATGATTTTAAGATTATATAATATATTCAGTAGAGCTTTAATTAAGCTATCTAGCTATCTATCTAGCTATAAGCTATCTAGCTATAAGCTATCTAGCTATCTATCTAGCTATCTTAATCTAAGCTTACTTCTTCCTGTACCTCTCTTTTGTGATAGATTTTGAAAACCACAGATGAAGAACACACTTTGGAAACAGAAAATAAAAAACTAGTAGAAGACCAGGAAAAACTGAAAGCTGAATTAAAGAAGACTTTAGATGGTAACTTTGTGTGCATGTAAAAAAGTGAAAAGACTAGCATATTTTATGCTGTTACACTTCACTGTTTTTCCTAAAACAAAACTCATGCCTAAATGTCCTTTTGGCCAAAATACCAAGAATGACCTATTTATAAATTCCTGCTCAAATATGAAGATAAAACATTGCATCAGCCAAGAGAAACATGTTCTGTTATGTAGAGAAACATGTAGGTGTTTCAGATCTGTGTTGTAAATACAAATGTTCGTGCCTTAGTAGAAGAGCTATGTTCCTAAAAAGTTGCTTGTAAATACATTTTTGTAAAATGAATCCCATTTTTCTATCATCATGTATTACTACTTTCATAGAAACAAGTCACTAAAGTTAGTTTTGGTTACAAAAAGATATATCGCTTATCCCAAGTTCTAATATTTCCTACCCACTAGATAAAAGGAAAGCATTCCTTGAAAGAGATGGATAGATGTAGAAGCAATAATCTGGGATGGCAGCTGAGAATTCAAGTGCTCCATTCCAAAATACATTGTACTGTAGGCTTGAATTGGAGTATCCCCAACTCCATTTCCATGAAGACAGCTGTTTCTTCTACATTAAAAGAAAAAAAGTATTCTGACAGTATTTTCTTCCTAACCAAAATACAAAATAATATTCCCTGCAGCTGCATAGCACAGAAAAGTAGACATCCCAAATCCAGTGTCATTATAGAAAACTCATGTTGTAAGTGTGTAGCTTAACCTCTGGCACATTTCTGCATATAGGAACAATTGTTCCTAACCTGTTAGCTAGATTCTGGGGAACTTGTCTTCCAGTCAGGATCAAGGTAATATGAATGCATAGACCATGTCCATTTTTCAAATCACTTCTACTTTAATTTGGAGATAAGTTGGAGAATATTTGGTGACTGAATCTACCTATTTTCTGCCATTTGTAAGTTTAGGTTTCCTTTTAGTAGGTCTCAGTACAATAAAAGTTCCTTGAAATAATAACATGTTATTGTTAAACATCTGTTTACATTCTTTGGATGAGATTTACTGCATCGAGATAAATTTGAATTTTAAATTGAAAGCCCAAAGATAAAAGCTAATTCTATAAATAATATGAAAATTCACAGGATATTTTATGATGCAAAAATTCTTTAAGCATTTTTTTTTTTTTTTTTTTTAAAGTTAAAAAAAAGGGGGGGGGGGGGCAGTTTAGAGGCAGTAAGTTAAAAATAAATTACCCAGGCTGGTGTTGTGGCTCATTGGTAAAGGTTTGATTCTCAGCACCGCATAAAATAAATAAATAAATAAATAAACTGAAGTTAAAAAAAAATTTAAGTAAATAAATAAATTACCCTTCTAGACAAAGTGGAATATTTGGTTGGTATGGTATAGCTCAAATTTGAGGAATCATATAGTTGGTAGTGATAAATATTCTACAGTTACAAAAAGTCTGGACATGATAAAAAAAATTTTAACATTTACATTAAAATTCAGTAGTCACCTACCCTCTGCAGTAGTCATTTCAGAAAAGAAAGTAGTATTCATTTTTTTTTACTTAGCATAAAATGTTATTGCTAATCCTTTTAGAGAATTCATGGAGCCATTTCCAAGCCATCTTAAATGAGTAAAAAGAAAAGGAAAAGAAGGAAGGAAATTGTTTCAAAATCTTACTTTCTTTTATATCAGCCAAGGATCTCTTTTTTTATTTGTTCGTTTTAGTTATATATGACAGTAGAATGTATTTTGACGTATCAAATGTGCATGGAGTATGACTTTCCATTTTTGTGATTGTACATGCTGTGAAGTTCTAATAGTCATGTATTTATATATGAACGTAGGAAGGTTATTGATTCCTTTTCTTATAAACAGGTGGTACAAAAATAAAAGACAAGAATAAGCTGTAGGCTTTGTATGCCTCTCTTGACCCCTCTCAGGAAGCTTTAATTAGTTTCCTAAGTCTGACATAAAAATCAGCTTAATACTATATGAGTATTTCTTTAAAAGACAAATTTGGTGTTTGGAGAAAATGAACTCTTTGATAATATAGGCATTGTATTTGTAATCTGATAACAAGAAACAACAACTTCCGTGTTTGAAATGTAGACTACATAACTCCTTTCAAAGTGAGAAAGTATTGAGATAAAAGCGGATTTTACCTGTTTGAGTATGCCTGGTTTGGTTCCTGCAAGATATGTGATATTTTATGAAAACATCTTATTTACCCAAAGTTACTTTTTTAATATTCTTAATAACCTTGAGAAACTCAAAGGTCCCATTTCTAAAGAAGGCATTTTTTCGACCATGTTCTCTTCAACCAGTAAGATTCATGAAAGCAAGAATAAAGAAATTGTATCAATTAGAATTGTGGATTTAGATTCATGCAGCAATATATTTTATATATAATATCACTCAAAAATATTCATTGATTCCTAAAAATTTAGGATATTATGGTGAAAAGTGTTTGAAAAGTTTTCAGTAAAGACTTTTATATTTGCAAATGTTGAGAGAGGCCAAGATATTTTCCATATGAATTTTCTTGCCTTTGGTGTTTCTTAAATTTAAGTGAAACATTTTCTCCCAAGTATATTAGTGGAACTGTAAATACAAAGTTTTATGTAAATTGATAAGTTCCAAATTAGAAAAGTGGCATTCTGAAGGCAGTTATTAAAAATGTTCTATCGTAGTGCCAAACTTCATCAGATTTTAATTACCAGCTTAGATTTGACCAGTTAGTAAACTATTCCTGTACTTCAATGTAGTAATATCACTCTAGAGATTTAAAAGAGAGCATACATATCCCAAAGCACCTAATTTATACTCAGGACTACTTAGTCATGTGTAAGAACCTCGTCTGTCATTTTAATAATCCATTTAACAATGACTCCGATATCCCAGAGTGTGGAGTATTTGAGAAAGAGCACTGCTATGAAAAATGATAGCCTAAGTTTTAAGGAATTTACAGTCTGTCTCATAAGCTTTTATAACAGAAATAGAACTTTATATTATAAAAAACCTATCGTCCAAGGAGATTGATTTCAAAGGACACATCCAGGAAAACTGTTACTTGTTCTTATAAATAAATATTTTTCCAGTATTTATTCTTGAAATTAAAAGAAACATGCAACACTCAATCATTGCATGCATCCAGGAAAGGGTAAATATGATTAAATAGTGATTGAGCTGTGTATAGAAGTATCTGCCCCTCATTCCTTCAGGGACAGGAATACATCTATCACATGCTATGTTAAAAAAGGAATTCTTGGGCTGGGGTTGTGGGTCAGCAGTAGAGTGCTCGCCTAGCAAGTGTAAGGCCCTGGGTTCCATCCTCAGCACCACATAAAAATAAATAAATAAAGGCATTGTGTCCAACTACAACTAAAAAATAAATATTTTTTTTAAAAAGGAATTTTTAGGGCTGCCAATCTTATAATAACGGATGTATAGGTTGTATAGTAGTGTATATCTCCTACAAAAAGCAAAGTGACTGAGGCAAATTCCTTGACTCTGCTTGCATTCCTGCCTTTCTTTCATCAACAAATTTTTTATTTATTTATTTTGATTTATATATGACAGCAGAATGCATTACCATGTAATCTTATTACACATATAGAGCATAATTTTTCATATCTCTGGTTGTATATATAGTATTTTCACACCAATTTGTGTCTTCATACCTGTACTTTGGATAATAATGATCATCACATTCCACCATCATTAATAACCCCATGTCCCCTCCCTTCCCCTCCAACCCCTCTGCCCTATCTAGAGTCCGTCTATTCCTCCCATGCTCCTTCTCCCTGTCCCACTATGAATCAGCCTCCTTATATCAGAGAAAATATTTGGCATTTGGTTTTTTGGGATTGGCTTATTTTGCTTAGCATGATATTCTCTAACTCCATCCATTTACCTGCAAATGTCATGATTTTTATTCTCTTTTATTGCTGAGTAATTTTCCATTGTGTATATATGCCAGATTTTTTTTATCCATTCATCTATTGAAGGGCATCTAGGTTGGTTCCACAATTTAGCTATTGTGAACTTGAGCTGGGGATATAGCTCAGTTGGTACAGTGCTTGCCTTGCATGTATAAGGCCCTGGGTTTGATCCCCAGCACCACAAAAAAAAAAAAAATATATATATATATATAAATAATCAAAATAAATTATCAACAATTTTTAAAATACATTTTCTTTTTTTTTAAGAGGGGGGAGAGAGAGAGAGAGAGAGAGAATTTTTTAATATTTATTTTTTAGTTATTGGCGGATAAAACATCTTTTGTTTTGTATGTGGTGCTGAGGATCAAACCCGGGCCGCACGCGTGCCAGGCGAGCACGCTACCGCTTGAGCCACATCCCCAGCCCTTAAAATACATTTTCAATAATTCATTCATTCCAAAATAATTGGACATGAAGCATAACTAATACTTTCCTTAAAAAGTGTATCTGTTGAGGAAAAAGCAAATTTTAAATCAGTTTTCTAAAAAAATTATATGCAAACACAATTTAAGGTGAATATAAAAGCGTATTAAGTATGCCTAAGTATTGACAGAATATAACGGGGACCTTACATTTGAACCAAGAAACAAAATATTTTAGTCCCCTATTTGAAATACTGTTAATTCAACTATCTTCCTAAATAAATACCTTCATATCACCTTGACCTACCTTGAAAAGAAATAAAATTTCCTTTTACTACCCTTGAATATATTGGAGCTAAAAATAATCATCATTTGCCACACACCTGTGGCTTTGCCACACTCTCAGCAGCTCGGAAGGCTGAAGCAGGAGAATTTAAGTTCAAAGCCAGCCTCAGCAAAAATGAAACACTAAGCAATTCAGTGAGACCCTGTCTCTAAATAAAATACAAAATAGGGCTGGGGATGTGGCTCAGTGATCCAGTGCCCCTGAGTTCAATCCCCAGTACCCACCCCCACAAAAAAAGGAATACCATAGGCCTAGAGGTATACCTCAGTGGTAGAGTACTTGCCTACCGTGTGTGAAGCCTTTGTATATTTATTGGATGGATATAGCAGTAGGCAATATGTAATTTGTAGTATATTAATTTTTAAAGCAAAATCTATGACCAAGCCTTTTAGTTAAGTAAATAAAGGATTTATTAGTTTTTATTACTTCATCTGTATTATCTCCTCTTACAGTTAATGTTATTGTTAAACAGCAAAAAGAGTCTTGCTTTCTATAGGATTACTTTCCTGAAATGAATATGCAATGTTGATATTTTATTCTATATGGTTCCTTGTTACATTACCACTTAGTTGTGATTATTTTCCTTTTTTGTGAGCTTTTTATCTATTCCCAAAGCCTAAAACTATTTGTCTTCCATGAACGGGAGGAAAAGCTGTGGAGAAGATATTAAGACAGAAATTCAAGGATACCTTATGTGTTATTAACAATCCCAGCAAGCAAAACTGATAATCTGTCCTAAGGAAAAGCTATTATAATCTTTACAAAGTGGACATTAATGCAAGAGAAAGTAGATTGTTTCCTGAAGTGTTTGTGGTCCAGATGTGTGGATTAAACATACATACATAGGATACATAGATTAGTATATCACAAAAATATAAGTGGAGAGTGCTAAATGCATACAGAATATAGGAATGCTCCAGGGAATAAGGATAAAAATCACAGTTCTCTAAATGTTTTGATGAACTTAGAGTGGCAGAAAATTGAGTGAAATGGCTTTACTCTTCTGAGTAAGAGGAGCAATATATATAGCAGACTGGTCAGTTAGAAGTTGATGGTCACACTAGGAAGCAATAAACGATAATTCTGTAAACTTGAGGAGTCGATTGATGGATCTCCTAAAGGAGGATAATTAATTTGAATACCTTGGTATTCTTTCTTCCTGCCTATTTCTTGCCTAGCTGTGCATGTTCACTAGACCTTTTATATACATTTTTATATACATTTATTATAAAATACTTTTATAATAAATGTATGAACTTTTAGCAATTTATGTTTATTGCCAAATGAGGTACAGAAATTAAACTGGGCAAATCTAGTATAAAAACACTTAGGAAAAACATACACCAAACTATTAATACACAAACGGTTATCTTTGGAATGTATAATGAATGACTTTTCTGGATTTTAAATTATTTTCTATAATACATGTATAATACATATATATAATGAGAAAGATTTTTATTGTTTTTTTTTTTTAACCTCTCTTCCAAATATCCTGGTAGTTGTGAGGCAGTAGATGTTTTGCTTGAATTACCTAATTAATGGACTATTTCCAATTTCCAATTGTACTTTGAGAGTGGACCCTAAATATGAGAAGTAGTTTAACTTCTATCATATGAATTTTACTTTTCAAAGTCTGTGAGAATACACTGTATAACTTTGGTCCAGTCATTAACCCTTTTTGGCAACAGTTTTCCATTAAACAAGGGAATAACTAGTTGTAATTTTTTTGTCACCCCAAATAGCATAATCAAGAAGCAGAAATGACCATCAAGAACTATTTTCACTGTTGGCTTTTTGATTCTTTAATTATGTTTATTTTTCATGAGAGAGAACTTTACACAGTAACTTCCCTTTCCCTCAAACTTAAGTTCAGCAGGTGGTTAATTAAATCATATTCTTCACTTCAGAAAGATGTCTCGTGCTGTCATTAAGACAGGACCTGGAATGTTTTATCCATCTGTTAGCACACAATCTTGAATATTTAACTCTCTTGATGGAACATTGGGAAGAAAAAGAGGGCATGTGCTAACATAACAATTTCTCATTAGTGTTAAGAATATGGTTGGTTGTTAGAACATCTTTTGGATCTGTTGATATGGAATAGTAAACCTTCACAGGAAAGGAAAAGTGATTTGAAAAAAGAAATCAGCATGGTTTTTTTTTTTTTTTTTTTTTTTTCATTATTAAAAATAAGACTCTAGGGGCTGGGGCTGTAGCCCAGTGGTAAAGTACTTGCCTCACATGTATAAGACACTGGGTTTGATCCTCAGCACCACATAAAAATAAATAAAGATATTGTATGTTTATCTACAACTAAAAAATATTTCCTGTCTTTCCATCTTGCTTTGCTTTCTTAAATGTTAACAAAATATTGCTGTCAGGTAAAATTTTTGTACCCACCGTATGTGAAAATTGGTATTTTATTTCAGTAAACCTTCTCATAAATTGATTTTCTTTGACTTATACACTGAATCAATAGCATATTCTTCTGCTTCATAGAATGTGGCTACAACTGTTTTGAACCAAGTATTCCTTAACAGTTTTTGTAGGATCAGCTCCTGGGACTTGAAATACTGCAAATGGTCAAGGGATTGCATAGTAAAGGAACATAAGCAATATATAATCTTTGCTCAGTTGTGTTTTTGAACTTGTAATTGTATCTGCCCATCTGCAACTTATTGTGTTGGATTCTATGAAGAACACCAAGATGAATAAATACACAGTCATCCCAGTCTTCAAGAATGTATGATGAGGAAAATAGACAAATTCACTGATACTAAAAATGTAAGGTGAGGGGTCATAAAAGTCAAAGTAAAGTTATAATACAAAGGACTATGGCAGTGCAGAGGAGCTCATGATTTTCTTACTGAAACAATTGGGAAATTAGTGAAGAGGTATCATTTCAACTGGGCTGCAGGCTTCAGTGGTATTTCTTTCAGAAGCAAAAATGAGCATTGAGTGTATTCCCCTAGTCTTAAGAATACACACAAACCAAGAATGAAAAGCCATTGTGGCAAAGCTTGAAGCTGATGGTAGAGTAGAATGGGAATGATGAGGCTGGCAAGAAAACAGACAAGATGTGGGAGTGCTTGAGTACCATGTTTAGAGTCAAAAATGTATTCTCGAGAAAGTACAGAAACAGCAACAGAATTTTGGCCTTGAGGAAGTTAGTAGTTCTTCATGGAGTTGTCATGAATACAGAGCACATAATTCAGTGTTAAGACTCACTAACTGGGCTGGGATTGTGACTCAGTGACAGAGTGCTTGCCTCGTGAGATACTGGGATTGATCTTCAGCACCATATAAAAATAAATTTTTTAAAATGAAGATATTGTGTCCACCTACAACTAAAAAAAAATTTAAGACTATTATTATCATTATTATTATTATTTCTATTATAAAACTTTTCCAAGTTAATAGGAAATGACTGAAATAAAAAGAAAAGTTTAGCTTTTAACTGTAAACTTAGAAAAAAAATTATCATAACTGAAATATTTTTCTCAAGTTTAGGGTTAATTTTTTTAATATTGCCTTTCTCCTGTAGCCTAATGAGGATGTAGTGGGATTTAATATAAAATCTTTTACAGGCTTTTTGCATTGAAAGAGAAGACCTCTCAAAACTT